GAAGATCCTATCTCCGACCACGGAAATCGCAACACTCGGTTCAAATCCGGGATTGATAGTACTCCTCCTCAGTCCAGCTCTAAGCGAGTCCTCATGGCCTGCACCGAATGTCGCAAGCGTAAAGTCAGGGTGAGTCATCAGCGTTGTCTGAAGGGCTTACGAAGGACTTATTGTTTTACAGTGCAACCCTGATCGCTCTGGAGTGACTCATCCATGCGAACGATGTGATAGACACGGACTACGGTGTCGATACGAACCTATCTCAAATTTCTTCCCAGAACATGATCCGGGAGCAGAAGGAATCAAATTATTTGACCCATATGCCCAAATCCCTCCCGCACATTATCCTTCTCCTCAAAGGGCCATAGCCTGCACCGAATGTCACAAGCGTAAAGTCAGGGTGAGTCAATATTGTTGTCTGAAAGTCTTACAGAGGACTTATTGTTTTGCAGTGCAACCCCGGTCGTTCTGGCGCGACTGCTTGCGAACAATGTCAGACCAACGGATTAGAGTGCCGAAACGCGCCGATCTTCCCTAATCGCCCTATAATGGCGGGTGGGGCTCCTCTTCGGCCATCGGACTACACCATGGTCCCCTCCAGATCTAGCCCCAATACTGTTCCGGTTCGATTAAGGTCCGTCTCGCCCCCCTCTGCCGTGTTCGCTCCAGAATTGAAGTCTTTTCTAGTGACGGTCGTATCTGTTATGGAACCCCATCGTGCTTTTGCGGTCATCATCCTAAGCAATGATGTTATTGTGTACCTGTCCTTGAAGGACAATCCCCGAATCCGACTTTCCGAACGAACATATAAAAACAGAACCTAAAATACCCAACTCCGAACACACGAGTGTATACTTTGTCGACCCAACACACGTATTATACCAGTAACCCACTTCTCGCAAGTCCGATAAAATTTGTTGATTGTGCCTTGGTCCGAAAGGCTCGGCGAGGCTAAATATAGTACAACAAACAGCATATTTCACAAGCACAGGTGATTTCCGAAGAATCTACTCAATCCTCAACCCTCTCGTCACACGGTAGTTCTCCGTTCACAATAACATCCATACTGCCGAACTCTAAATGAGGCAATCTCCATTCCTCGTCCACACTCTCGATCTTGGAAGTTGGCATAGCAGGATCGGGAGATGGCATCGCGATCAATAGCGACACTCTGAGGTTGGTATTGGCTGTTGAAGTATCGTGCGTTGGAGGTACCGAGGGTGTATGTGCATGCGTACGACTCGCCGAATTTAAAATGGGTATTATCGACCGCCAACGGTGTGATGAGGGTGACCAGATATTCGCTCCAGGGTCACTTTCTACTCGCTCAGTTGAGATAGGCTTAGCAGTCACGATAGGATTCAAACAACAAAGGTGAGGTCAGAATATTCAGTAGAAAGGAGATGACGGGGAAGTAACATACCATAAGATCTGGCCATCTGAAACCTCGTGTTGATTGCCCAAATCCACCTTCCAAGTCCTTTTCACTTTCCGGCACCCGAGAGTACCCAACGTCGAGCGAAGCCTCCCAAAACACAGGTTTCGGACCTAGTTCAACGAATTTTGTGCCTCGTCCCCTCGTTTGATGATTATGATGATGGCGTACGAAGGTACCGTTCCGGATAGCCCGTGCCATGGCTTGACGCCTTCGTTGGCGGTTTATACGTGTCCGAATAATGACTATGGAGGATGCCACGAGTAGGAGTGAGAGTATCGCTATGAATGTGTATACTGGAAGAAGACGTGGATTCAGGTCAGATCTGAATCGAACACATAGAAATCGAAACTGACGGTATAGCGGGGCATTCGTATCACCAAAACTTGTGTTTCCTCTCCCGTTCCATACGGTGCCGCCGCCGCTACTCGTAGTTGTAGTTGTAGAGGAAGGAAACGAGTCGACATAGGTCTGCGAGACTGAGAAAGTAGTATTCGGTTCGTCCGTTGCCATTTGGTGAAGGAGATGATGGTGGTGGTGGGTGGTCAAAACGCAGGAGAATGCCCAGCTTTGACTGCGATAGCATTATTGCTCGTCGGATTCAGTCGATACATCTCGTGGTCCGCTGCCCAAGTGGATGTTGTTCTGGTGTTTTTCTTGGCTTTGTCGTGGCAGTCGTAGTCCAAGGGATTTCATAGCTGTAGAGGCAACGAGAATGATACGTAAAAAGAACTAGATGAGAGAGAGAGCATACCTGTGGACTCTAAGAGGGCTTAAGGAAGAGTCGCGGGTGCTCGATGCACCCTTGTAGATCGTGGTCCAGGTCAGAGAAGCGGACAAAAAAAGACGAATCGGTCCGCTCGGTGACGTCGATCCGAGAGCCGTGGCGATCCGTCGGTCCGAATGCAGGCAAAGTAACTTCACAAGTCCGAGGATCACAACTGCCTGGCACTCAGGCGGCTCAACGGCAGCTACTTGCGAGCGGTCCAGTACACTCAGTGCAGCAGCTGAGGAGTGCAAAGATGGTGTGGATGTACGATTATGTGGCTACCTATTGCCTAAGGCAGATGCTTGGCACTTAGCATTTCAGATCGTTAACTCCGCTCGCCTTGAGGTGCCCGAATTCAGGCATAGATTTTCATATCACACAACCTGATTAGATGAGTTAGACGCCATGGAAGAACATTGGACGGGAAACATCTGAGGTCATGATGGAAGAATGAATGTAAAGGCTGGATCGTTTCCTAAGAGTTAGTAGTGCCAATGCAAGGCATTCCGACCGCTCTTTACCAAAGACCTTTTGAAGCAACTGCAGAGACGTTAGATGAGTTTCCAGCACACTTGCGACGTTTTCTGAATATTGAGAGACCCCACATTTAGGACTTGACGTGCCTTTACCGATGTCGAAGCTAGTTTGGTCGCTCGTGGTGTTCGATTCAAAGGGCTTTAGGGGGTCAAGATTATCGTATCGGAGGCTAGGACACGAATTACCATACAGAAAGGCGATGAAGCCCGAAACAGTGAGGAACAGCCACAGGACGAACCAACTTTGACTGAGGATTAGCGAGGCAAGATGGAGAACGCCCATATAGTCATCACAGAGCTATGGCTGCCTTTGAGATGAGCTTGAAGGTAACTTGGGGATACGTGCTGGTGTCCCTTCAATCAATTATTTAGTGATCGAATGAGATGGATTTACCGTGGTCGCGAATTCGATGAGGATGGGTAAGTCGTGGTGTAGATGTCCGAAACGTTGAAACCTATGACTGATTGAACCGCAATTACCTAGTCATGTTCACCCCCATAAGATACGGACCTATCCCGAGCTGTACTGCAATCGTGTATCGGTAAATCTCTCGGATTGACACAGATGAGAGGGAGAGTGAGCGTGTTACGGCGAGGCAGAACGATACTGAGTGCGGGAGGGCCGGCGATAGGTCCGAGTTAGCGCCCGAGCCGTGAGAACACTGGGGTCAAGCCGACCCGGCATCCCCACATTGGTAGTCCATCGCGTGAACCATGTCGGAAATTTCTTCTCCCTGTTTGTTACCTTCATCATGCCTCGCTCACCATTATCGACGGCGTTGAATGGCGACCAGTGCCACGACTTTGACATTCTCTACGACGACGACCGCTATGAAATGATATCGTAATGCCATGCCCAGCCCTCTTCCCCCCGCTTTTCTTGGAAACCTAGGAACAGGCCAAGGTAACTCCAGTCTTGGTAAGGGACGACGCTTGGCCTGATATGTATTGTCGGCTGACTAGCTCAACAGGTTTGCGTTGGCAACGAACGACCTTAAGCTTTAACCACCATCTGAACACGAACAACTCGAGAAACACCCAACATAACAGCCGCCTTCCGTTGAAGGATGTCGTCCACACCGACGTTCTCGGCACCCCAAACGTTCTCAGATCCGTTTCCGACTGCGTTACCGAGTGAAGGACCTAGAGGAGGCTCGGGATGGAGAGAACGAGAAGATCAACAACAGAGCCGTAGTGCTTCGATGTACGGTGAGTAGCCTCTCCTGCGCTATGCTAGCGCCTGTTCAAGCTCATCTTCCTCGTTCAGTATACGCATTCATAGCAACAGTCGCGATTCTGCTCTGCCTATCCGCAGTAATCGCATTTCGATCTCTACGAGCTCGTCAACAATACCGTCGGATGGTCGAAGAAGCGATTCGGAATGGGACGTATGTGCCAGGTCGAAGTGGTGGGGTGGACTTGGGTCGGAAACCTGTCGTTTGGGAGGCTTGGTTGGGTGGTGGAACGTATGTGGGGGAGAAATGTTGGAAGGATGTTATGGTATGTTCCGCTCGGCTAGCCTTATGTCGTGGACTGACTTACGGGTCTTTCGTAGCCAATATCACTGCAAATGGTCAATGAAGAGAAGGACCGCAAGACGAACTCTGAATCGAATCCATCTTCACCCTCACCGCCCACCTCCCGTCTGAGATCTCTGCCGTTCATGAGACGTACATCCTCGGAACGCTCATTACCTTGGTCATCCATATTCCTATATACACCAGCATCCGACGTTCCTCCTTCCCATTCCTCTCCTCAAGCTCGTTCCTCCCCAACTGCATCTTCATCGTTACCTCCCCCCCAAACAGTCGATTTCGATTCAAAGTCTCCTGTAACATTACGAATGCGAGTCTCGTTGTTAGTTGCGATGCCTTCGCCTCATCCCCAACCGTTCGTGTCACCATCGAAACCGGAGAACGACGACGATGTAGAACTGCCGCATTTGGAGGTTGGGAGTGTGGAGGTCGAGGTCCTTGGCGGTGCTGAGGAAGGTGTTGGGTCGAAGGATAATTAGCTCGAGGGGTTCCGCTGGTTACCGTATCTATTTGTGTTTGTGAAAGGCTGATGGGGATGTCGAGGGTGGTGTAGACGCGACTGGGACGTCGTCTGAACGCTGAAACATGAGAATTGTGTACATATAAGTACGAGTCATAATATAGGTACCCCGTCTAATACTTCTAAAACTCTATTTGTGCTTTGTCGAGGATATATGGACTATATCAACGAAAAAAAAGGAAAAACTTAGCGAGTCAAAAGTCACGGGCCCAACTGGGAATTGAACCCAGGACCTCTCGCAAAGATCTACGATGAGCGAGTAAAACCCAAAGCGAGAATCATACTACTAGACCATTAGGCCGTGCCAAGTGCTCCAATATGTGGTTATATAGTCAGTCTCCTTTTGACTTTTCTTTATGATGTTTATCCCACCCGTACTTGACGCGTAACGCACAACCTGTTATTGGAGCATCGACGCCCTTGCTGACCCAAAGCCAAAGCGAAAGAGGACAGCTAACAAACCTAATCGGAACCCCCCTGGCCATCAGTA